AATGAAAGGTTTAGCAGGTTTTGCCAACTATGTCTAAGAAATTCATTATTTGTCATGCTGTTTTAATGGAGGAATGAGGACTTGAAAACACTGTTTGACTAACCTTCATTCACTTATTGCAGTCAGGTGATGCAAATCCAAACTATACCAACAATCAATGATGTGATGAGATGCATTTTGTCTGTCTTTTGCATGTCTATTGCACGCTAATCTGCACAGTGTATTTGCACATAATGCTTTAGTTTTTTGTAACAGGGTGAGTAGTCAACAGTACTGTATTTGCTCGCTCCAAACTTTATGTACTTGTGGAAATGCCCTTTTTAAAAGATAGAATAGAATGAATTTCAAATCACATTCATGTATTTTTGTAAATTATTGAATTCTATTCTAGTAGTTAGGTCTAACCAACATATATGGCTTCCATGTGCCTTTAATTGGATGCACTTTTAAATTACATATGAGATGTGAAATCTAATAATGAATGAAAAGGCTCAAATGGAAACTTGACATAAAGACAATGCTATGTAGGTTCAGATAGACACATGACAGAGACAATGCTGCACAGGTTCAGATAAAGACTAGACATAGAGACAATGTTGCACAGGTTCAGATAGAGACAATGCTGCACATGTTGAGATAGAGACAATGTTGCAAGGTTCAGATAGAGACTAGACATAGAGACAATGTTGCACAGTTTCAGATAAAGACTAGACATAGAGACAATGTTGCACAGGTTCAGATAGAGACAATGTTGCACAGGTTCAGATAAAGACTAGACATAGAGACAATGTTGCACAGGTTCAGATAGAGACAATGCTGCACATGTTGAGATAGAGACAATGTTGCAAGGTTCAGATAGAGACTAGACATAGAGACAATGTTGCACAGTTTCAGATAAAGACTAGACATAGAGACAATGTTGCACAGGTTCAGATAGAGACAATGTTGCACAGGTTCAGATAAAGACTAGACATAGAGACAATGTTGCACAGTTTCAGATGGAGACTTTACATAGAGACAATGCTGCACAGGTTCAGATAAAGACTAGACATAGAGACAATGTTGCACAGGTTCAGATAGAGACAATGCTGCACATGTTCAGATAGAGACTAGACATAGAGACAATGTTGCACAGTTTCAGATAAAGACTAGACATAGAGACAATGTTGCACAGGTTCAGATAGAGACAATGTTGCACAGGTTCAGATAAAGACTAGACATAGAGACAATGTTGCACAGTTTCAGATGGAGACTTTACATAGAGACAATGCTGCACAGGTTCAGATAAAGACTAGACATAGAGACAATGTTGCACAGGTTCAGATAGAGACAATGCTGCACATGTTCAGATAGAGACAATGTTGCACAGGTTCAGATAAAGACTAGACATAGAGACAATGTTGCACAGTTTCAGATGGAGACTTTACATAGAGACAATGCTGCACAGGTTCAGATAAAGACTAGACATAGAGACAATGTTGCACAGGTTCAGATGGAGACAATGCTGCACAGTTTCAGATAGAGACAATGCTGCACGGGTTCAGATAGAGACTTGACATAGAGACAGTGCTGCACGGGTTCAGATAGAGACTTGACATAGAGACAGTGCTGCACGGGTTCAGATAGACAATGCTACACAGGTTCAGATAGAGACTTGACATAGAGACAATGCTGCACAGGTCAGATGGAT